ATGAAAGAAGCAACGTTGTCATAAAATTTTAGTTGTTCAAAGTTTGCTTTTTTCTCTGTTAGAAAAAAAGTTTGCTTCCGAATTTATCGATGGAAATAATGGTCTAGATAATGAATAATAATAATAATAAATATGAAGATCAGAAGTTATTATTCTCTATGTGAACTTTTTTCCCTCCTCCTTGTTCAACTATCTAGTCTTATAACATGTGGGTTTTACCTTGGAAGAAGTTACATGGCTCAGTACATCAGGTCTCCCTCGCTCCCATCTTCAAAAGTCATAGAAATTCTAGTTCATTTTCTCAAAGGGTGAGAAAAAGATCTCTTCTTAAGCGGGGAGCTCTGACCTCAGAAAAGCTGCTCTGTCCCATCCATCGACCTCCTAGGGGCTGTTTGGACTCTCGACATTCACACCCGGGCGATGGAGGGGAAAGACCCTTTATGGAGCAGCCACTCTCTTTGCTCCCTTTATCTGCCTTCTCTCCTCCAAAGAGCCCACGGTAGTGCTTTGTCCCTCCTAGTTACTTTTGAGCCCCAAGAAGTAGGCATGGTTGAGATCCGAGGCACTGGCAGAGGCCATGGACCCAACGGACTGTAGCCCTTATACCCCCGAGGTGCCCCTAGAGTTGGTCTCAGAAGGAAGTCATACAACCCAAAAGCCGTGCTGGGAGGGAAGGAATTGGCAAGAACGTGGTCCCTTCTTTCTTTCTGCATTACTGGTGGGGAAACTCGCCCGGGTAGCCTGGGGGCTCAGCAGAGAAGGGCTTCGGTTGCCCTGCTCCTCAACCTTCTCGAAGCAAACCCTCCAGATGTGTCAGGATCAAGACCCCATCATCCCCTTGGTTATGCAGTCTGGGGGCAATGGACATTGTGCCCAGGCACATCTGGAGGGGAAGCCAGATTGAGGGGGGTGGTGAGAGTCTGCCATAACGATTCGCACAGCAGAACGAAGGGGGTCACTGCTTGGTAACCTGCTTGCCTCTCACAAAGACAGTTCCAGCCGGTCCCATCCACGTCCCTCCTCTCTGGCCCTGATATCCCAGGGAGCAGGTGGTGCTCAGCACTGGGCAGAGAGGGGCAGGCCACCCCATTCTGCTCTGGGGAGGAAAGGGTTCCAATTTGGACCTTTCATCTCTGCACAAGGCTGTGGTGGGCAGGAGTGGGTGAGGGTGGGCTGGTCTGCTTCCACTAGGCCAGGAGCACTGATAGTGGGGGGGGGGGACTGTGGGAGAGGCAATGCAGCTCCCAAATGCATGGGCTATCCCTAGCTACAGCAGAGCTGCTGAATCTTGCCCCCCCCCCACGCTGCTTAGGGCAGGACTAGCTGGCTGGCTCCCTGGGGATGCACATTCACTCCCCTAAGCCCTTGGCTTCTGGGCACCGAGGGTGGCGCCAAGGGCTATTGCCCAGGTACTGAATAAGAGAACACTCACCTCGTGAATCCTGACAATCCCAGAAAATAGAAGAAATGGAAAGAGGAAATATATGTCCCAATTTGGAGCAGTTTTATTTCCTGGCCGG